CCCCCCCCGCTTGCGCGGTGGGCGCCAAAGTAACTCGCAACTTTTCTTGTCCCCCCCCCACCCCGCTTCAGAGACATGTTACGACAATGGAAGGTACTATCAGATCAACCAGCAGTGGGAACGCATTTACCTGGGGAACACGTTGGTCTGTACCTGCTATGGTGGAAGCAGAGGGTTTAACTGCGAAAGCAAGCCTGAACGTAAGTTGGTGCTGTTTTTCCTTACCCGCTTCAAGACCCCCCTCTCTCCCCCCCAACCCCACGAGTGGCTTTTGAGCTGAGTAAGCTAAGCGTTGTGCCGAGCTAGAACCGGCAGACCAGGTTTGCAGCTGGTGAAGCCTGGTGTTTTCGGGTCACTAACGGATCCGCATCGGTTGCCTTGAAGATCTGGCTCGAGACCTCTTTTAAGAAATGCTTTTCATTAGAGATGGGCCTGCCACCAGAACCCCGAGCCAAACATCGCTCATCTCTCTGGAGGATTGGATCTAAACGTTAATTTTGGAGCCAACCTCTTCTTTATAATGAACTGAACTGACTCCTGGACTCGCACGGGGAAGTTCAAATCTGGAGTCGCTTTGCAGCTCTGGCTCTGCGCTGTTTGATTGCTTCGCCCCGACTTTTCATAGCTGCACAGTGTCGTCAGCATGTTTAAAAATATTTCAACTTACAACTTTCCACAGCCCCCCAGCCTCGCTGTCAGCTTTCTATAGCCGAGTGTAAAATGAGATTGTTTAGTCTTCTGGAGAAAGGGTTTAGGTAACAGAAGAAAATTCCAAATGCAACATCTGCTGGAAGATGTGTCTCTCTGGGATGCAATGTAGTTTAGATAATCAAATGCAATCTGCCTGTCTTTGTTGGTCTGCAGCCACTGGTTTGCCATAACTGCTTTACGTTGCTCTGGAGATACGAGAGAGAAACTGATTCCTAGCTGATAATGCTCATCTAAGACAGATGGAGCATCCCACTGATCTGCCTTGCAAGGCTTGTATGCTGCCTCTCTGAGGGCTAGAGTACTTCAGAGTAGTACTCCATCCCCTAACTCCTCCATAAAAGAGGAATTTAATATTTTTTTTCTTTTTTTTTTTCTCCAAGTTTTACAGTTTTGAAAACTAATAGCAAGTTTTCCATATGGCGTAGTTAGCCTTATCTGTCTAGTAGTGAAGTCAAGAAGGTTGTTTCATTACTAATCGCAGGACTGGTGGCAGCCTTGGCATAACCGTTCCGTAATCACTTACTCGTGTGTGAGCGTGCGCAATTCACGAGGAGTCCTGTAGACTTCAGCGAGGTTGCTGCAGAATTCAGGATTAATATACTGAAGCTTTTGCCAGGTCAGAATTAGGAGGATTAGCATGACAAAACACAGCTTCTGAGGGATGCTTGCTTCTTCCTGTCTCCGGTACTATTGCACTTCAAACGGATGGGATTCATCCTTGCAGGGCATACCTGCCCACTTGCCTTGCTCAGCTTCTTGCTCCCCGGGGGAGGGAAGCTGCAGGTATTCAGTAGCCTGGGGACCTTGAGTGGATGAACGTCACCCAACTTAAGCTGTCCTACTCCAGGAAGAGAGTGGTGACCAAGCTGCATTTTTGCCCTGGGGAGGGGGGAAAAAAAACCTCCGTGTTTGGAAGCAAGGAATGGTTTCTTTTGTTGACTGTGCACACTACTTGCATGGTTACATGTAGTTCACTTTTCTCTCCTCATAGCTGAAGAAACTTGCTTTGATAAATACACTGGATCCACTTACCGAGTAGGGGAGACGTACGAGCGCCCCAAGGACTCCATGATCTGGGACTGTACTTGCATTGGAGCTGGACGTGGGAGAATCAGCTGCACCATTGCCAGTATGTAACTAAGAGCCTGTTCCTAGAGCTATTGTTCCTTAGTGTCATGTTTTCCACAGCAACTTACACAATACTCCCAGCGCTGCTATGCCCATTAGCTAGAGTAATGGGCTTTGGAGCAAAGCTCCCTAAAATCTTGTAATTGAAGGTCCTTGCCCCATGTGCCTACAGAGAGAAGAAACATTTGTACAAGCAAATTCCTCTTTTATTTAAGAGGAAATGTCATGTATAAAACACAGCCCAAGACTGACTCTGTTAGCATCCTGCCATACAGATCCTTATTCATAGGAGCGTGTTACATCTTCAGAGACGTTTATAAAAGCAGTTTTCTGGCTGGAGAAAAGAACGAGGGCCTAATCTGCAGCTGGTGAGCCAGAATAGCGCCATCAGCTTTAGCAGGACTCCCCTGAACATACACCACCTGAGAGCCTGTCCCGCTGGCCTCCAGAGTGGGACGAAGCATCACGCCAACGCTGGCCACAGAGGGAACTGGGATTTGAAATCCCTTCGCCCAGCTCGGCGTGCTTCTGCCAGTCCTTATTCACCGGCCGACCTCATACTTTCCTCTTCTTCTTCCTTCTCTTCCCTCATCCCTTTTTCCCCGGCTTTCCCTTTCATGTCTGTGCTTCTCTGCCTGGAAATCCTTTCCTCGTTGAGTCACCAAATTGTTCACCGTTTCCCTTCAGCTCGTTAGCTAGCACGGATACGAAGAGCGCTGTGTCAGGACCTCCAGCTTGAGATTTCCAAAGTCCCTTAGGCACCTCTGGAGGAAAAAACTCTTGTCCCTTCACATATCCCATTTCTTGCCTGAGCCTCGTAGCGCCGAGCAGGGCTCGGAGGCCAGCCGCCGCCGTGGCATGGGAAGAGATGCCTTTAACGAGGAGAGCTAAAGCCATTCCCAATTTAAATGGCGTTTTGCCGGGCGGTGACGATAAGCATTGTAAGAAAAAGAGTCGGTGAGGAAACTGCGAGCCTGAGAGCAGTCCCGTTTCCTCATCAGCAGCTGGGTTTAAAGCTCACCGGAGAGTCTCAGTGGCAGCCGCTGGCTCTGAACCAGTCTTCGTTAACGCCCCTAGATTCCCCGCTTTCCTAAATGAGCCAACAGAAAGTTTTACCGGCTCCTAATAAGCGACGGGCCGCGTGTTCCTCCTCCCTTCCTTGGAGGGAGGCGCCGCGTTTTGCCCACCGCCGCGCACCAGGGTTTCCCCGCTGCGGCGCCTCAGGCTGGCGGGG